ATAATGACTAGAGGTCCAGTGCATGAAATTTGTGCATGGGGAAAGGAGGGGCAGTTCCCTAAGCCCAGCCTGCACCCTCTCACAATCCAGAATCGCTGGCTCCTACCACTCACTTGCCTGCCTGCCTGATGGCCCCTAACTGCTTGCCTGCCTGCCTGATGGCCCCTAACCACCTGATAACCCCTAACCACTCTGCCTGCTTAATTGTCCCTAACTGCTCACCTGCCTGCCTGATTGCCCCTAAGTGCCTCTGCCTTGGCCCCCGCCACCGCGGCTTTGTCCGGAAGGTCATCCGGAAGGATGTCTAGAAGTTCGTTCAGCTGTCTGGTCTAATTAGCATATTGTGCTTTTATTATTATAGATTATAGATGCTCTTGCAAATTATACTCTACAAATATAAGGCCTTATGTTATAGCAATCCATATTACCTAATTAAGTCATGATACCCGGAAGTAAATCAACAAATTGGTCAGGTAGTTATCCACTACCTGACTTACTCTAATAAAGGCTGGATTTTATTACAGGCATACCTCAGAGATATTGTGGATTTGGTTTCAGACCACTGCAATAAAGTGAATATCCCAATAAAGAGAGTCACAAATATTTTGGTTTTCCAGCACATATAAAAATTATGTTTATACTATACTGTAGTCTATTAAATGTACAATAGCATTATGTCTAAAAAAATGTACATACCTTGATTAAAAAATCCTTTTTGCTAAAAGTTGCTAACCATCATCTCAGCCTTCAGTGAGTCCATTCTGTTGGTGGAGAGTCTTGCCTTGATGTTGCTGGTTGCTGACTGATCAGGGTAATCATTATTGAAAGTTGGTTTGGCTGTGGCATTTTCTTACAATGAGACAACAATGAGCCCTGGCCAATGTGGCTCAGTTGGTTGAGCGTTGTCTTGTGCACCAAAAGGTCGCCAGTTCCATTCCTGGTCAGGGCACATGCCCAGGTTGCGGGTTCCATCCCTAGTCAGTGTGTGTGGGTGGGAGGCAACTAATTGATGTTTCTCTCTCTCTCTCTCTCTCTCTCTCTCTCTCTCTCTCTCCTCTCCAGTAAAAACATTTTTAAAAAATGAGAGCCAACAATGAAGTTTGCCACATCAATTGACTCTTCACCTAAAGTTTTAGAGGCCATTGTAGGGTTATTAATTGGCCTAATTTCAATATTGTTGTGTCTCAGGGAAGAGGGAGGCCCCAGAAGAGGGAGAGAGACGGGGGAAGAGCTGGTTGGTGAAGCAGTCAGGACACACAACATTTATCAATTAAGCTTGCCATCTTATATGGATGCAGTTCCAGACACCCTCAAACAAGCACAATAGTAGCATCAAGGATCACTGATCACATATCACTATATCAAATATGATAATAATGGAAAAGTTTATTATTTTTTTTTCTTTTTTTTTTTAAGCCTCCCCACGCTCGCCCCCAAGCCTCCCCACGCTCGCCCCCAAGCCTCCCCGGCTCGCCCCGCTCCCCGGGCGGGCTTGGTTAAATACTGGCTGGTGATTGAGTAGATTGAGGACTGGGGGTGTGTGATTAAGTAAGTCAGGTGAGAAGCATCTGGGAGCCCCTAGGTGTCCGCCCTGGGGGTGTTTGCAGAACCAGCTGGGGCAGAGCCTGTGCTCCTGCCCAGGGAGGAAGCTGGCAGCCTGGGCTCCTTGCAGACCCCCATGGCCAGGCCGTCCCCTGCCTCCAGGCGCTGTGGCTGCCCTGACAGGGGCACAGCCTCCGCCCTGCCTCACCTGAGCTCAATCCGGGATGCCAGGGACTGTGCCTGCCATGACCGGGGCACAGCGCTCGCCCTGCCTCGCCTGAGCTCAATCCCTCATGGCCGGGACTCCATTGCCCCATTTTGCTTCCATTTAAAATGTCTGTGTGTTTCCAACCCTCAGCCACTGGCTTCCACCAGCAGAGGCAGCCTGCGCCCTGGGCGAGGTCACCCCAAGGAGACCAGGGGCCTGTGGCTGCGACACAGGTGGTTGTGAGCACAGGGGCTGGGCTTGGGGCCACAGGAAGGCTCCAGGGTCTTCAAGGCCTGGCAGGCCGCCCAGGGGACCCCGCTCAGAGGGGAGGGACCCGGGTGCTGATAAGGCGCCCCTAGGATCGCCCTGGCTCAGCCTGACTAGCTCAATTGGCACCGGCCAAGCCCCCGGGGCCACCGCTCAGCCCCCAAACAGGAGCAGATGAGCGGCCCTCAGAGGGTCTCCCCGTGCCGTGCCAAAAGTTTAAAATGTTGGGAGAATTACCAAATGTGACACAGAGACATGAAGTGAGCAAATACTGTTGGAAAAATGACACCATGGGCTTATTCAACACAGGGTTGCCATGAGCCTTCAATTTGTAAAAAAACATACTATCTGCAAAGAGCAATAAAGTGTTGTGCAACAGAGAAGGTATGCCTGTGTAGATCATTTATGGATATTACAAATTATATACACTTTTAATAATATTTTTTAGTTTGACTGACATTTCCTATCCAGTATACAAACCAACCCAAATTTTCACATGTAAACAAACACTTCTTACCAAGAAATAGGCCATAACTTATCTGGTCTTCAGAGATTCAAGTAAAAACACAAAGATAATTTTTTAAATGCATATATCTGTTAATTTTTTCTAAGACTCTTATTTGGTTTGTCATATTACCTTACATAATGTAGCAAAAAGGGATACCTAGATGGTGGGTTTTGTAAATGATATTCAAGGCAGACAAATCTCCTACTATACTAAGGCACAATATCAAGCCAAAGAGAAAAAATCCATAAAGGCCCACGAGCATATGATTCATTACGGATTAGTTCTGTTAAGTGTGCAGGTGAAATGAAAGACTGTCAAACCGGAGAAATCTAGCCTTACAAAACAAAATTAATTTCTTTACCTTCAGTTATGTTATTTAACTTTAAAGAGAGTGAGGCTAAGAAAATGGGAATTTTGGAAATGTAAAAACATAGAATCATTTCTATTAATAAAAATTAAGATAAAAATCATGAAAAGATTTTATGGATGAAATATTTAGTCATCATATAGAAAGAAACTATAAGAACTGGTAACAAAAGTATTTATTTTTTTGATCCGTGTAATAAAGGAATGACTAGATCTATTGGGAATTAGATGTGAATCTTCGTAATGTCATACATTTTAAAAACAACACCATATAGCTACTTCTCTTTGACCTCATATGGAAAAACTAAAGAAGGAAAAATCTACTTCCCTTTCAGATCATATACTATTTATTTTTCTTCCTATTTTCCTTAAAGTGATCTTTTTCTCCCTCTCTTAGGAGCAGATGTTTAATGAGCTACTTATATACGATGCACCTCATCTTCTACAAGATTTGGATACATACTTAGGGGAAAAAGAGTGGTTCATTGGTAACTCTGTGAGTATGTTTTACATCTTAAAAAATACAAATATATATATATTTGTATATATATATATACACACACATATATACATATATATAATCTCTTTATTTATTTGTGAAGATAAACCAAAGACATAAAAACTTATTGAAAAAAATGTTACCCATAAAGAGGGAGTAAGAGAGCAGAGATAAAAGCTAAAATTTTTTGAATAAACATTTTTTTGGTAGACTTCATTTTGAAACCAATAACTAAAATATTTTATATAATTATATAACAACAATAACAAAAACATCTTTAAAAGTTATTACTGCAAAGCAAAAGCCAAGTGAAACAAACAACCCTGTGTCAGATTGAGGCATAGGGTATGTAAGTACCTATGTATTCTATTAGTGAAGAACTACTTAAAGAAACAGCTTCATAGCCTGGCCAGCGTGGCTCAGTGGTTAAGCGTCGACCTATGAACCAGGAGGTCACGATTCAATTCCCAGTCAGGGCACATGCCCAGGTTGTGGGCTTGATCCCGTGTGGGGTGTGCCGGAAGCAGGCGATCAATGATTCTCTCTCATCATTATGTTTCTATCTCTCTCTCCCTCTCCCTTCCTCTCTGAAATCAATAAAAAAATATTTTTAAAAAAAGAAAATATAAAGCCGTAGCTGAAATGGCTCAGTGGATAGAGCATCAGCTCACAGTCTGAAGGGTCCCGGGTTTGATTCCGGTCAAGGGCATGTACCTCCGTTGCAGGCTCTACCCCAGCATGCGGAAGGCAACCAATCGATGTGTCTTTTTCTCATCGATGTTTCTCTGTCTCTCCCTCTCCCTTCCACTCTCTCTAAAAATCAATAAAAAATATTCTCGGGTGAGGATTAATAAAAAAGAAAAGGAAAAGGAAATAGCATAATATGAAAAACACAGGAATCTGACTATACATCTCACAGATATACTCTTAGAACAAAAACAATAAAAATTGTATATCACTTTCAGTAATTATATTTTTGGTGGTACTGGTACAGTGGTATTATTTTTCTGATATTATTATATCTATATTGCTGGGGGCTAGCCCCAGCGGTCCAGGGGTTCCCAAAGGTGTGGACGGAGTCGGCGAAGAATGTTTTACACAGAGACAGCGTTCAGAACTCTCTAGCTCTCTTTAGTCTCCGTGGATCTTCCCTGTGCCTGGCTGAGGCCACAGAGAAAAGATCCCGAGGCAAACTGAGCCTTTATTTTATAGTGAGAGGTAAACAGGGTAGTGGTTTCCATAGTTACACAGTTCTTGTGAGTTTCACTTGTTTTGGCCACTTCCTGCACCTCCCTCAGCCCATTAGCTTCCCAGATAAGATCTAGAGAGCCTCATAAGGTCAAGCCTAATTATGCTAAGAGGACTGTGCCCTCTAAGCTGGGAATTGTTTGTGACTTTGCCCACAAGTCAGTCCGAGGCTTAACCCTGTATCAGCTCCCCACATCTCACCCTTCTTTTATTTTTTAAGCTACTATAATGAGAGTTTTTAAGCTACCATAATGACAGTAAAACTTAAGCATCAAACTCAAGCATCAAGAACAAAACTCTGGCTATTAAAACAATAACAAAACAATGCCAATTCAAAACCCAAAACATTTTAAAACTTATGCATAACATTTCAAGAACAAAAAATGTTTTAAGTCCCAATTTCAACGTCCAACAGTTCTGAGTCCAAGTTTCAATGTCTGGCAGTTCCTTATGTGTACATGTCAGCAATGATATTTCAGTTCTGGATGGTGGA